GGCTCTGGACACCCAGGCAGCCAACGGACCCTCTCGCTCCTCCAAGCTCGGTACTGGTGACCCAGTATGACCCAGGATATCATCGGGTACGTCCGCGGTTGCTCAGTCTGCGCCATGTCCAAGACCCCTCATCACCTCCCCGTAGGCAAGTCTTTGTGACAGTTGCATTGTGTGCTTAATAAACAAACTCCAGTTTCATGTAGATGAGCCCTACAGACAGATCCCCTTTAAAGACCTTGCCGGCCATCGGCACAATTCCTCAGCAAAGGCTACAAGAACCAGATGAGTCCTCTGCTCAATCTGACTTGTGTTTCTTCCTGGAATTAAACCACACCATGATGGTTTCATCTCGCCAGAGGAAAACTGGCCCCCAACTGAGTCTGGCTTCTCTCAAAGTTTTTTCTCCATCACTGATGGAAATTTGGTTGCCACTGTCACCTTAGTTGGAGACACTTAATTTCTGGCAATATTGTTGGCTTGATTGCACAGACACTATTTGTAGAGAACTTAACTGAGCTGGACAATGACATCACTGAATCAACAGTGAACTGACTTTAACTGAAACATTGACTGTTTGCTATTGTCATCTTGCATTATTGACATACTATTTTCCTGTTTAACACTGTAAAGCTGCTTTGACACAATTTTTATTATATAAAGCACTATATAAATAAAGGTGACTTGATTGATATAGTTGTTATGGAAGCAGACTCAGATACAGATATTAACAATAATGAGTTTCATTGACCGCAACTGAGCCGATCAGGAATGTCAGGTAAGCAGGCAGTTCATTGATCCTTCTTGAGAAGAGTTTAACTTGGTAATGTGGATATTTCTGAATCCTGAAGACTGAATCCTGTAGTGTGAGGGGAGCTGGAGCTGATACGTGACAGGGTTGATCTGTCTGATGATGGTGAAGGGGCTAATATATCTGGGACTGAACGTCTTGCAAGGCAGTTGCAGCCTGATGTCCCGGGTCGATGGCCAGACCTTCTGACCAGGTTGGTAGGATGGAGCTTCAGATTGTTGAAGGTCTGCTGTGATTCTGCTATGTTGAATGCATGTGTTACCATCAGAGGGGAGCAGATCTGTGATGAAATCCACTCCTACAGCAGGTGTGACCATGGGCGGTTGGGAACGGGCAGCGACTGGAGTTTGCCAGTCGATGGATGGCAGGGGCTTTTGGAGATGGTGCAGTCAGGGCAACACTGAACAAACCTTTTCACATCTCTGGCCATACTAGGCCACCAGAAGTAGTCTTTCAGCAGCGATAGGGTGCTATTGGCCCCTGGGTGGCCAGTGCCCAGAGATGAGTGTGCATTGTGCTCTAGGAACATACTAAAGCTCAGGTGGGCAGCCTTGCCGAGTGGCAGTTTAGGCATTGGAAGCGGTAGTTGACTCAGGAGACCATTGGATGGGACTCACACTCAGGTTGTTGGGTAGAATGGGGTTAGGTTCTTTGCAGACCTCTTCAGGAGCATGCAGACGGAAAATAGCGTCAGCCGTAATGTTCCTGGTATATTGGCGATAAGAAATTAAACCTGGTGAGAAACAGAGCCCACAGAGCCAGGCTAGGGTTAAGTCTTTTAGCATCTCTTAAATAAATATAAGTAAATGGTAACACTTTAGCATAGGGACCAATTCTCACTATTAACTAGTTGTTTATTAGCATAACTATTATTAAGATATTGGCTGTTCATTAGTGCTTATGAAGACATATTAATGTTGAGAATTTAACCTTAAAATAAAATGTGACCATATAAAGATCCTTGTGATCAGTCAACACAGTGAAGGGATGTTGTGCACCCTCCCACCAATGTCTCCATTCTTCCTGGGCAAGTTTGATTGCAAGAAGCTCTCTGTTGCCAATATCATATTTTTTTTCTGCCGGGCTGAGCACATGGATGGAGTCTGGCTGGAGTCCTCTGCTGCTGAGTCACCACAGCTCCTACACAAGTAGTGGAAGCATCCACTTTGATGATGAATGGCTTATTAGGATCTGGGTGGATTAGGAGCAGTGCGCTGGTAAAAGCCTCTTTGAGTCATTGGAAAGCTTCGGTGGCAGATGGTGACCAGGACAGAGACTTGGGCTTGTTTTTCAGCAGGCTGGTGAGTGGACTAGTGATAGTGCTGTAGTTCTGAAAGAACCGTCTGTACAAGTTTGCAAAGCCTAATAAGCACTTGAGTTCCTTGATGGTAGTCAGAGTTGGCCAGTTTCTTATGGCCTCCACTTTCCTCTCGTCTATCTGGATGCCCCGGCTGCTGATGCTGTAACCAAGAAACTGCACTGAGGACTGGTGGAAAGAGCACTTTTCTGCTTTGAGGAAGAGGTGGAATTCTCTCAGGCATTTCAGGACCTCCGCAACATGCTGCAGATGTTCGACCATGCTCCGGGAATATACAAAGATGTAATCAATATAGATGAGCACAAATCAATAGAGGAAGTCCCGGAGCACCTCATGCATGAAGTCCTGGAATACGAAGGAGGTGTTTATCAATCCATATAGCATCATCAAGTACTCATAGTGGTCAGTATGAGTTGCAAAAGTCTTTCACTCATCCCCCTTACGTATCCGGATAAGGTTGTAGGCACTACGGAGGTCCAAATTGGTGAACACTGAGGCTCCACAGAGATGTTTGAGTGCCGCTGGGATGAGGGGAAGTGCGTAGTGAAACTTCACTGTAATCTTGCTTAGAGCACGGTAGTCAATACAAGGCCACAAGCCTCCATCCTTCTTGGCCACAAAGAAAAAACTCAAAGCAGCAGGGGAAGTAGAAGGGCAGATGCAGATCGATGGCACAGTCCCATGGTTGATGTGGAGGCAGCTAAGAGGCTTTCTTGGGGCAAAATACATCGCTGAAGATGGAGTAACAGGCTGGGATGTCAATGGACTGCTTCTCAATGGGACTCTCGAGGGATGTGGAGTTCACGGGAAGTATCTTGGTCTGATGAGAAACAATACAGGGAATTTGAGGAAAGCAGTCTGGGAAACATTTACTGCCCCACTCACAATTTGCCAGTCCTTCATGAGATAATGGGATCATGCTGCACAAGCCATGGGTGCCCTAATATCACATCAGTGATGAAATTCTCTAGAACTAGAAGACTGAGAAATCCGTTGTGCAGTTGACCAACACACAGCTGAATGGGACAGACACTGTAGAGTACATGTTTCTTGTATAAGGGTTTTCCAGTTACCGATTGGACCTTGTAGGAGGTTTTGGCTGTGATCTTCGGGAGGTTGAGCTGGCAGCAGAGATTCTGGAGATAAAATTCCTGGCTTACACACAGTTGAGGAGGGCATTAACTGGAAAAATGACATTAGAGGCAGTAAGCATTACAACAGTAGTGAGTGAGTTCTTCGAGACACGACTGCGATTGGCCACTCTGATGGATAACTGCATGAAGTGTTCAGGACCAGTGGAATCATTTTATGACTGCCGATAGGTGGTGAGGAGAACTTGCGAGCATAATCATTAATAGACATTTTTCCTTGATAAAGATGGTAAAGTTGCTCACCAACTGAAGTGTCTCCCACAGGCTTTCCAAAGACTTCATGGAAATGGTGGACAAAGTTATCTAGAAACTGAGTTAAAGTACACTGTAAAACCTGATAAGTTAAGAATACTCAAAACATTTGAGGAAACTTATTGCCTCAAAATATTTGAGTACACAAACTCAATTTTTTTTTAAGTTAGTAGAGCTTAACATTTCTATGACAAGTGGGGCGGGGCTGAGAGCCATGGGAGCCAAGCCACTCATCACAATGATAATTATATACAACTTGCTTCCATTAACAGCACATTCATTCAGATCTTTATAGTTAAGTGCTAGTTAGTAACAGCACACTAGCACATACTAATGTAGTTATCTTAAAGACTCACAATACTTGCATGTAAATAGTCAAACAACATGCAGTATAAATAGTCTTTAAGTTTTCCTGTCCATCCTCAACCTAACCACAGGCTCTACTCTTCACCACAACGGTAACACTACAAAACCAACATAACAGAAACCTATGTAAATCCTAACATAACACAACATTTAAGTACTAACTTATGTCTCTCTATGTTAATCTTGTGTAAAAATACACAAAATAACACATTTCTACATTTATTTTCCTTATTGTCTGATGCAAAGCATGCTGGGAACTAGAAAACGCAATCATCTTAAGTTCACCTTACTACAACAACATTTTAAATTTACAGAACTTATTTCAATTAAGTCCAATGAACATTCATTATTATTTGAGTGAAGTTAACTCATTCATTTAATTAATTTCATTGTTTGGTTTTACAGTGTACCCGACCAGATGATTTCCACTTAGTAGAGCGCTCGCCTGACAGCAGAGAAATGATGAAAGTGATTGGCTGCATCTCCAGGGCCAATGAACACCGGAGTTGGAATCCGTTGCAATCCTCAGCTGAGCCAGAGTAGGGCGCTGGTTTGGCCATGGGACTGGCGACTACAGTCGGTGAAGGAATGGTGGTGGAGGTAATGGAGAGTAATCATTGGGGTAATATCTCGAGAATAACACAGGAGAATTAGCAGGAGTAATCACTGGAGAACGTGTAAGTAGTCTACTTTGTAGAAACAAAGAATTTGTAGAGATTGGACAATGAGCTGAGATGAGGTGTGTGCTTTTATGGCTGGCTTGATGTCTTCTGGTAGTCCATATCACTTAAATTCATAATGGAAAAGGATTTTGGCTGTTTCTAAAGTAGGCAGGTACTTGGGTAGGGAATGAGACTGCATATTTTAGAGAAACATTCTACAACTGTGACAATTATGGTGTTACATTGAAAAGGTGGTAAGTCAGTGACAAAGTCCAGAGCAATATGAAACCAAGGGCACTGAGGTAGCAGTAATGGTGATGAAGGCCAGGCGGAGGTAATTTGAAGGACTCTGGAGTACCAGGATGTCCAGAGCATAGGGAGGAGTGGACCTGGTGAACGTGATTTCACCAAGTGCAAAATGTTCCTGGATCAACATCCAACATGCTAAGCAACCAATCAAAATTGAGGGATACGTTTAGAGGAAATATCAGGAAATGCCTTACAACCAGAGTTGTATAAGTTATTGCTTCTACATCCTTGTTATTCAGCTATCATTTCCTTTTGACTTTAGGGATAAATTATGGGTAGGGTTAGGTTTAGGGGTAGGGTTAGGGTTAGGTCTATGTTTTTGGACAGTAATGTTGATCCAGGATAAACAAAAGATGTTGATACAGGAACATATCTTAATTGGCAAAATCACGGCGACCTGCTGGATTCAGAAACCGGGTGCTCGACTTTGCAGTGTTTATTTCACTCGTCGATATATGTCCAGACGGTACGAGAAGTATAGGTGGCATTTGCGAGAACCTTCTTGTGTAATGCTGTCTCAGGCAGTGCTCCCCTCACCTTAGAGGGTTGTATTTGAGCTTGCCTCTCCCATTTGGCCGAGTACTTACGGGTATCTGTGAGCAGATGTTTGGAAAACTCTTAAATCCATACTATGGTAAGTGCACACGTTAAGCTTTGCGCACTTTCTAAAAATCCACATAGGTGGTAAGTGTGCACGTTATGCTTTGCTCATTTTTAAAATCCCAAATAGTTGGTAAGTGTGCACATTATGCTTTGCGCACTTTCTAAAATCCACATAGGTG